CCCCAAAACCCCAAAACCCCAAAACCCCAAAACCCCAAAACCCCAAAACCCCTTTCAAGCGGCATTATATTGGATGAAGTATATTATATTAATCATAATTTGGTCGTGTGTAGGTCATCTGAATCATTGTATCAACTTCAAGTTGGACATCGCTCAAATTCTCTTCATCGACATCAAGGTTTATAAGGTGATGATCCCCCTCATCATGACTCCCTCCTTCTTTGAGTTTATCCAAGAAGGCCTTGACCTTCTTTAGTTTTTCATACAGGACTCTCTGATGCTGAAGTTCCTCATCACTTCTTTTGCTTCTTTGGTTTATCTGATTCTGGACACTGTTCAGTCCTTTCTTGACGAGAGGATCTACATATTCTCTCCTTTTCTGATTTATCATGTTTATTCCACCCATGAGAGTACCTATTACTTTTTCGCCAGTAATGCCTTCTTGGCTTGAAGAATGCTGGTGTACCATAGAATCATGATTCTCTTCCTTCTCATATGTAATATGTTGATGGTTCTTTTGAGAATATGCATTTTTATTCATTAAGTTACCTCCAAGAGGGTGATTCAAATCATCTTCTTTTTCATTTTTAGGAGTCTTCATATCACCAATACGTTTGGAGACAAACCCTTCCTCCTCTTTCTGAGGCTTTGCAGCAGGAATTCCTTTTGAAGGAAACTTAGTTTTTGAATTGAAATTACTCAGAGGGTCATAAAAACTTGTCGGCGTTGTCTTCACTACTTCTTTTGTTTCCTCCTTAGGCTCCTTTCATTTGAAATCAGACTCTGAGGAAAACGACTTCTTGGTTGTCTTCTCTTCCTTGACCTCATCCTTATAAATTTCTTGTTCTTTAAGATCCTCTCTCGCTTCTGATTCGGTAGGCGTCATTCTAACAGAGCTACTTTCTACCTCAGTGCCATTTATTACAGCCTTTTCTATCTTCCCTGCTACCGAGATGAGCCTTGATGCTCCTTTTACCTCAGGATAGTGGAAAAAGACCTCTAAACAATCCTCCATTTCTTGTTTATAAATTTTATCTCTAATATTCTCTATCATTGCTAATCAGAGGTAGTCAAGATTTATCAAAGGATCTTCTGTTGAAGCGAAATAGTCTTCTGTGTAGTACATATCTCCAAAATCCCGATCTTTCCTAAATTCGTCATTTATTCCTGAAAATATGTAATCCCACAGACTTAGAGAAATTTCTATATCAAATTCTCTGCTAAGTATACATCGCAGCCATCTCATGAGCTGCAGTTCAGGGTCGAGTTTGATGCTAATAAGGTGTTTATAGACCTCTGTATCAACTCTTTTGAGATAATTATGGTAGATTCTGTTACATCGTCTCATAACTGCGCTTTTCTTCCTCTCATCATCATACATTTGTTCTATTTTAGCTCTTCTATCTTTCTCTTCTTGTTCAACTTCATACTTCCATTTGAACATTCTGTCTTTGTCTTCCTTAGCCTATAAAGTTATAAAATTGAGCAGAGCAAAAGCCTACAATAGTATCTAGTTTGCCTTTGATAGTGGTCAGGTCATCAATAGTTCCATAGAGCTCCTTGATGCCCATGCTCATCACTCTCTCGAAAATTATGAACACATCTGCATTCATGTGTTTGGTGTTATACAAAAATTTTATCAAATTATCATGATCAGAAGCGATCTCAGAGTCAGATAATTGATCGATATCTATATCTTCTTGAACCTTCTCGGCAGCAAAAACAAAATAGATAACTGCGATGATCTCATTCATACCTTGTCTGTAGGAATACATTGGGTATGTCTTGGACCAGAAGTAGAGGGTAGAGACCATCTGGTCTCTGACCTTTTTTCTCTGGAAGAACTTGTACTCCTGGTAAGTCCTGACAACATCTTTCATAATTGTATCCTTCATATCTTTGTCGTCCATCAGTTCGTTCCAGAGATTGCCAGTGCTTGACATTAGAGGATTACAAGCCATTGGGTCCATGTTTTTAGTATTTTCAATAGAATACCTATCACTAATCTTATAAAATCTCTTCCTATGTTTGCGGATTTTCTTGATCCAAGTCTCTGGATTAGTGTTAAAGGGGACTAAGCCGAGTAAAACTCGCCAAGAATGCAGCCTGCTGCCACATTCTTCAGCAAGATTTCCATGTCTTGATTGCTCTTTGATCTGCTCCAGGGTTCAATTTTCGCTTTTCAAGAAGAAATCAATGAATTTCTCTTTTTGGAAAACCATTCTTCCAAGAGGATTGGAGGATAAGCCCTTATTCTCTTCAGGGTCCATTAAAGTTAAATATTATTTATAATCAAACTCTGAAGGGTATTTAGGGGTTTTGGGGTTTTGGGGTTTTGGGGTTTTGGGG